GCAGAAACAACCTCGAACACATTTTCTTATACATATTCCTGGCTTAGAATTACATATTTCAGGACAAGGAGTACCACAATTCGTATATTCTTCATTTTCATCTTGACAACATTCCTCTGGCTCGACACATTTGCTATCATCTGTGCGATATAAGCCTTCTTTGCAAAAGCAACCAGGAACACATTGTAAATTGCACAATTTGCGTTTTTGTGGATAACAAACATCCTTACAACTTGGTGAACATGATGAACCACATTGGTTATATACTTTGTTTTTACCACAGTAGGACGATATCTTGTCCTTGGGACATTGGTCCTTTAGAATGCAAGGACTGTTAGTACTGTTATCTTTGCGAACATAATTAGGCTTGCAGAAACAGCCTAGAACACATTGTTTTGTACATATTTCTGGCTTATAATTACAGGTTTCAATACAAGTCAGTCCACATATATATTCTTCATTTGAATTACATTTACCATTAAATTTTGAATTAATAGAGTCGATAGAATCTATAGTTGAAAAGAAAAAACAAATTAAAATTATTAAGAAAAAGAATTGATCTGCAAAATATTACATCCTTGAATATGCGCAATACCAATTATCAGGAAGAGTTGAATTGCAATATTAAAGACAGAGTGCATTATAATATAGTATGATGAATAATCGACTAGAAAATATATGAAAATATTTGTTGTATTTATATTCAGTAGAATAATGAGTAAAGGTAGCCCGAATGTAAACAAAGAGAGAAATAGTTGACCACATAGAGGCTTTTTGTCATGCAATTAGTAAAAAGAACGAATGAATATGATGAGGTTATGCACAATAATATTTCGCATGAAAGCAGCATAAATAATTAGTCACAGTGTGGACTATTATTATTACTGAAGTGGAATCATTGAAGGACGATAATTATCTATTTAAAAAATGTGAAAAAAATGATGTGCTACTTCTATAACTAAGATGCACTGAAATGATATTGGGTTGGTAAAAAAGTTTTGTCGTTTTTTTCGTAACTTCCTAGAACAGTCAAGAAAGTTCTAGAAGTTTCCATACTAAGGGTATATAACGGGAGTGTAAATATCTTTCGAACGACAATAAAACTATGGATATACAGGGGGTCCCAGAAGTAAGGGAACAAGAAGAGTATCCGCTAAAATTGAACGAAAAATTGTTTATGATAGTTTGGGCACTTTTTATTGATGTAGAGAGCTGAAATTTTCAGAAATAAAAGGTCTTGGTTAGATACATATGTGATAAAAATTTCAGCTCTCTACATCAATAAAGAGTGCGCAAACTATCATGAACAATTTTTCGTTCAATTTTACTGGATAGCCTTCTTGTTCACTTACTTCTGACGAGGGAAGGTCACCAACTGTTCAATCGCTTTTGAGTCGGA